CCGGAAACTGCGTCGCTGCCGATTCAGATATCGGCAGCCAAAACTGCTTCGCTGCCGATTCAGAAATCGGTAGCGATGGTGGAGTCATTTCAATTCCACTTCTTGTTTTTTGTTTTTTTTTTTTTTGGACGTTACATTCTCCCCTCCTAATAAAATTTCATCCTCGAAATTAAAGGGACTCGTATTGCTAGTTCCTCCAGATTCTTAGAGCAAATGCCATAGGAAGCGACCTTAGGTCAGGTCTTGGGTAATTCTGTACTTAAGTCTTTAACTGTTTTGACACATAAGTGATAAATTCCCCATTTTTTGCTGTCAAATTCTCCTAGTGCTCAATAAATGGTTAGCACTCAGTCCAACAACACAAGTACATTAAAGTTATTCATGAACAGTGTACTTGTCACTGCATCGGATGCAACCGTAATTTCTTCCTACATCAGGTGAAATACTCTTCTTGAAGTCCGATCATTTTGTGCCCCTGCCTCCCTTGGTTGGAGTTTGCTCCAGATTGAAAAAAAACCCCACCGGCCTATCCACTGTGACTGTCTATCGCTAACTTTGAAAGCGACTACGACATCCTCAATCCTTACTCAATGTTTTTGTTACAGCATTCCTTCTTTATTATGGCATCAATATATATATAGTTCTGTAAACCACATTCCCATAATATGGACAGTCACTGGGTATAAGAACCCCCGATCATCCCTCATCTAGTGAAAATTGGGCATCTATATATATATATTGGCCTCTACTCCATGAAAGGTATCTTGGTTTATGCCCCTCATCAAGGATGCATCATCCGGAGATAGATCACAAAACTTTAGTATCATTGATCCTCAGGATCCAAACCAGGCGCTCTGATACCAACTGTAACGACCCAACCTTTTCAAGGCCAAAGTCACTGGATTTTTTTTTTCATCATCTCGACTTATTCATCATTTCCTTTTTTTTTTTGTTCAAATCTCGTATTACCACGAGTTCATACATTATCATTCGTAATCCATTTCAATATTTAATTACTAGCTTTTACAGAAGGAATCGAATGACTAATTAAGTGATTTACATGTTCGCTCATGCAGAACTTATATCACCCATAATATACGAGTATATAATTCTTTTTCAAATGTGTGTGCCACGAAATGAATCTTCTTATGCCCCATATTGGTATGATGTCCCTGTTCCAACACAAGGTAATTTTAAGCATTATAGACCATTTAAGAAATATAGTAAAACAAGATTAAAGTCACATTTCATTCATGGACCAAAAAGCATAATTCTTTAATTTCCCTTTACTTATGTCAACACAAACACCACCGTTAATAATCCGTCAATTAACGAAACAATTTCAATACTCAAACCCGATCATTCCTCTCGAATGTCGTTAGCCGAATTAATGTTTTTCTTTGGTTAAGCATAACTAGTAGAATGCTTTCATATACTTAGTATATACGAAACGTAGTATACATGACCATATTAGTTCTTCTTAAAACTAACTCATAAACTCAAATCCGACAATCCTCTTTGGAGGCCATTAGTCGAAGTCAATCATTTCTTCATCTTGCTATCCACTAGGGTGCCATTAACCGTTTCTTCTTCCTTTTTTTTTCTCTTCTTCTTCTTCCTCCTTTTCTTTTCTTTTTTCATCACGGTCATCCCTTAGGATGCAATTAACTGAAGCTAGTCATTTCTTCATCCTGATTATCCATTTAGAATGCTATTAGCCGAAGGTAGTAATTTCATTATCCCGATTATCCATTTAGGATGTCATCAGTCGTAATTAATCATTTGTTCACCTTGACTATCCACCTAGGATGTTATTAGCCGAAGCTAGTAATTCATACATCTCGGTTATCCATTTAGGATGCCATATACCAAAGTTAATCATTTATTCATTCTGGTAATTCATATATGGTGCCATTACCATAGCAATTCATTTACTCATTCTGGTAATTCATCTATGGTGTCATTACCATAGTTAAATTTGCCATTTACCAAAGCTAATCATTTATTCATTTTGGTAATACATCTATGGTGCCATTACCATAGCTAATCATTTATTCAGCTCGATGATCCCTTTAGGATGCCATTTATCGAATGTAAATCATTTATTCGTTTTGGTAATTCATCTATGGTGTCATTACCATAGTTAGTCATTTATTAATCTCGATGACCATTTATCGAATGTAAATCATTTATTCGTTTTGGTAATTCATCTATGGTGTCATTACCATAGTTAGTCATTTATTAATCTCGATGATCCCTTCAGGATGCCATTTATCAAATGTACATCATTTATTCCTTTTGGTAATTCATCTATGGTGTCATTACCATAGCTAATCATTCACTAATCTCGATGATCCCTTTAGGATGCCATTTATCGAATGTAAATCATTTATTCATTTTGGTAATTCATTTATGGTGTCATTACCATGGTTAGTCATTTATTAATCTGATAATTCATCTATGGTGTCATTACCATAGTTAATCGTTATCCATTTAGTACGCTACTTACCAAAACTAAGCATTTATTCATCCCAATCATACTTTGGATGCCCATAGTCAGAGCTAATCAATTGTTTACCCCTGTCATCCCTTCGGATGTCATTAGGCAAAACTAATTAATCGTTTGTTCCGGTCATCCACTCGGATGCCATTAGCCGAAGCTAATCAATAGTTTGTTCCGGTCATCCACTCGGATGCCATTAGCCGAAGCTATCAATCGTTTGTTCCGGTCATCCACTCGGATGCCATTAGCTGAAGCTAATCATTGTTTTATCAAACAATTCATGACAATTTGACATTCCTTGCAACATCAAAGTAGACCCTTGGGGATACTCGTACCACCGTTTCCTAGTAATTTATCATTCCGTAACACGATGATAGATCCTTTGGAATGCAAAAACCAAACATCCCACAACAGTTTAGCATTCAATATAACACAACACAACAGTACCCTTTGTATCATTCATCCAACCATTCTTGACAGTTAACGTTCAATGCAACATAATAATAAATCCCCAGTAATACTCACACCACCATTCGTGGTAATTAACCATCAATACGATACAATGATAGGTCTTTCATAACACTCATACAATCAATAAATGATAGATCCTTGGTAACATATTCATCACAATTACATTCAATATAATAAAATAGTAGATCTCTCATAATACTCATACAATCATTCATCACCATTACATTCAATAAGAATACAAAAGTAGATCCTTTGTACGACACATACTACCATTCATTAGTAGCTCAAATTCATAACAGCCACCAACATCACATTCGGTTTAGTATTCATCACAACTCAATAAGATGTTCACCTCAAAAGGGCCAGTTTAGAACTCTAACATTTTCACCATTGTTTCAACATTCATCAAGAACTTGTTCGACATTTCATAGTCATTTCGACAATCATCAAGAATTTAATCCAACTCTTCTTCGTCATTTTCTTCTTACAACAAGGATTTAATAACATATCATCACAAGTTAACCATTTCAAAACATAAACATCAAAATGGGAAAAGGTGGAAACCACCTACCTGCTCCACTTGTGGTCTGTCCTTGTCCTGGCAATGGTCTGATTCCGGCCACAACACCTAAGACACCAAAGACCACAATCAATTCATTTGTATCTTCGATTCACATTCATCCCACACTTATTTCAAGAATTCATATGTTCACATTCAAGTGTTCCACATTTTACACCATCATACTATGAGATTGTTACTAGAATTTAAGTCATTTCTGCCTTGTAGAAATCGGCAGCGAAAACTGGCTCGCTGCAGGCTGCCCAACTCGGCAGCGAAAACTGGTTCGCTGCGGGCTGCCAATTCGGCAGCGAAAACTGGTTCGCTGCGGGCTGCAGGCTGCCACTTCAGCAGCGAAAACTGGTTCGCTGCGGGTTGTCACTTCGACAGTGAAAACTGGTTCGCAGCGGGCTGCCATTTCGGCAGCGAAATCATAAATTTTCTGTAGAATACAAATTTCGGCAGCGAATACTAATTCGCTGCAGACAACTCAATTTCGGCAGCAAATCACAATTTCGCTGCAGCATACTCAACTTCGGCAGCGAATCACAGATTCGCGGCAGGACACCAATTTCGGCAGCGAATCACAGATTCGCGGCAGCACACAAATTTCGGCAGCGAATCACAGATTCGCGGCAGCACACAAATTTCGGCAGCGAATCACATATCCGCGGCAGAATACCAATTTCGGCAGCGAATCACAGATTCGCGGCAGGACACCAATTGCGGCAGTGAATCACACATTCGCGGCAGAACATAAATTTCGGCAAGGAATCTCAAATTCGCTGCAGCCAACTCCACTTCGGCAGCGAATCACAAATTCGCAGCAGAACACAAATTTCGGCAGTGAATCACAGATTCGCGGCAGAACACCAATTTCGGCAGCGAATCACAGATTCGCGGCAGAATACGCAGAAGACACATTTTGGCAGCGAATCACAGATTCATAGCAGAAAACTCAGTTTCGGCAGCGAATCACACATTCGTGGCAGAACACAAATTTCGGCAGGGAATCTCAAATTCACTGCAGCCAACTCCACTTCGGCAGCAAATCACAAATTCGCAGCAAATCACAAATTCGCAGCAGAACACAAATTTCGACAGCGAATCATACATTCGCGGCAGAATACCAATTTCGGCAGCGAATCACAGATTCGCGACAGAATACAAATTTCCGCAGCGAATCACAAATTCGCTGCAGAAGACACATTTCGGCAGCGAAAACTAATTCGCTGCAGAAAACTCAGTTTCGGCAGCGAATCACAGATTCACGGCAGAATACAAATTTCAGCAGCGAATCATAAATTCGCTGCAGAAGACACATTTTGGCAGCGAAAACTAATTCGCTGCAAAAGACACATTTCGGCAGCGAAAACTAATTCGCTGCAGAAGACACATTTCGGCAGCGAATCACAGATTCGCAGCAGAATACAAATTTCGGCACCGAATCACACATTTGCGGCAGCCAACTCCACTTCGGCAGCGAATCACAAATTCGCAGCAGAACACAAATTTCGGTAGCGAATCACAGATTCGCGGCAGAACACCAATTTCGGCAGCGAATCACAGATTTGCGGCAGAATACAAATTTCAGCAGCGAATCACAAATTCGCTGCAGCCAACTCCACTTCGGCAGTGAATCACAAATTCGCTGCAGAAAACTCAGTTTAGGCAGCGAATCACAGATTCGCGGCAGAATACAAATTTCGGCAGCGAATCATAAATTCGCTGCAGAAGACACATTTCGGCAGCGAAAACTAATTCGCTGCAGAAAACTCAGTTTCGGCAGCGAATCACAGATTCGCGGCAGAATACAAATTTCGGCAGCGAATCACAAATTCGCTGCAGAAGACATATTTCGGCAGCAAAAACTAATTCGCTGCAGAAAACTCAGTTTCGGCAGCGAATCACAGATTCGCAGTAGAATACAAATTTCGGCAGCGAATCACACATTGGCGGCAGCCAACTCCACTTCGGCAGCGAATCACAAATTCGCTGCAGAAGACACATTTCGGCAGCGAAAACTAATTCGCTGCAGAAAACTCAGTTTCGGCAGCGAATCACAAATTCATTGCCCAACCCATATTTTGGCATGAACACACACACACCACACGTTGCAACAACTCCAGTACATAAACTGTCACTAAGTTCCAGCAGAACACACACATTGAAACCATCAATTTCAGCATATAATTTTTTTTCAATAAATTCCAGCAGCATACACATATTAAACCCATCAATTTCAGCATAAAATCTTTTGTTAATTATTTTGAAATCAAGTCCCCCATCCAGCCCTGTTTTGTCCCTCCTTTTAGCTTAGTTCTTTTCCATAACAGTTGGAGTAAAGTTCCTAGGCCATGCATCCAGATTTTTATTCTTCTTCCTTTCGATTTCAAGACCTTAAGAACAGGTGGAGAAAGACATGGTTCATACCTCATGGATTTAGCATTTTTGGGAGGGGTTTGACAACATTTCTCCCCTTCTGCTCCCGATTGTTTCTTCCTCTTCCTCTCTTACGGTTTTTCACCTCCTCTTGTTAGTTCCCCATCGATTTTGGGCCTCTCCTCCCTTCATGTTTGCAGCTGTCCAGCCTCCTGTCAAGCTCTCCCTCCTTTCTCTCACGTCTAAGGAGGCACTAGCAGCTGGGGTTTGGTCAAGCTCTTTCTTTGGAAAGGGAAAGAGGGAAGGGGACAAGCATCTCATTTTGGGGGAAAGGAAGGGGACAAGAGCATGCAGCTCACTTTGGGGAGAGGGAAGGGGACCAGCACGTTTTTGGGGAGGGTGTCTCCCTCTCTCTCCTTGCTGCATTTATACCCCTCCTAAAAGCAAAAGGGGGGTGTTTGGATGTTGGACAAGGCTATCCTAACCCTCCTTTTGGGTTATCCTTAAGCTGATTTTAGTTTCCCTTCTCCCCCCTAGGATAGGTGGGTCCCACATTAAAACCTTTTATTTTCTTATTATTATTATTTTTTTTATGTCGCTGCTGATTCAGATATCGGCAGCCTGAAACTGCGTCTCTGTCGATTCAGATATTGGCAGCCAGAAACTGCGTCCTGAAACTGCGTCGCTGCTGATTCATATATCGGCAGCCGGAAACTGCGTCGCTGCCGATTCACAAATCGGCAGCCGGAAACTGCGTCGCTGCCGATTCAGATATCGGCAGCCGGAAACTGCGTCGCTGCCGATTCATATATCGGCAGCCGAAACTGCGTCGCTGCCGATTCAGAAATCGGTAGCGATGGTGGAGTCATTTCAATTCCACTTCTTGTTTTTTGTTTTTTTTTTTTGGATGTTACAGTGAGGCTGCCAGCCGAATTTGGGGTCATTCCGGGCCGGTTCCTATTTTTGCGTATTTCCTTGATTTTTAATGGTAGGAAAATAAAAAAAAATACTTCCCGACTACGAAAAATTCTGGGATTATTTCTGGAGGTGGATTGGATTTTTTCCAACCTATGTGCAAAATTTCAGCTCAAAATACCAAGAAATGAATTTTTTAAAGGGGGGTGACAGCTGGGACCTAGTAGTGTCTACCCCTGCCAGAGCTGCAATAACACTTATAGCTCTTTAGGTTGGTGACCCCCGAGTGGCAATGGGGCGCGCTGGCTGGCGCCCATAGGCCTGCCGCGGGGGATTTGGTAGCTGCTGCTACACTTGGACTAACGTGGGGGGCCTCATGGCCCGAAGTAATGCCGCCATCGATGACCGGTTTTCCGGCCGGCGACGACCCGATTCCGGCCACCGTCCCCGGGACCCGCTCCAAGCCGTTGGGCGCGTTGGGGCTGCTTATCTGCGACGTGGGCATGTATGCATTCTGTTGCCGCGCTCGTGCCAAGGTGCTGGCAGCCCCAACGCGCCCAACAGCTTGGCGCGACGTCACGACGGAGTGTGGCCGCTGCTCGTGCTCGCAAGTTGGCGGCCTGGCCGACGTGTCTGGTGCGGACCGCCAAGCTTAGGGATTGCGAGGAGA